GATAATCCAGGAAATATACGCATTTCTCCAACCATCTAATCTGTCCTCGTAGAGCTAGCATCATCACGGCGATGCAATAGATGACATCCAAGTCCGAGTTCGACTTACCCTCCCTTCGCATAGAGACAACCCATCTGCTTAAAGCCCAAAACTCCTTATTCGGCCGGTGGTTTCATTCGTCAGTTTCCTGTGTGTCCCCGATCTCTTCTTACATCGCTTTCGTATCTCCAACGGCTTCGTTATCGTCATGTACTCCTTCGTTAGGTGCTCCGTATGCCGTCTCTCAGGCTGCTCGTTTTTCGGCAATAGCCACGATCGTGGGGACTTTCTTCCCCGCAAATTGTACGTCTTCATCCAAGCAAATCTGCTTGAGCTCCTCGACCGTCATATCGGCTAATAGAAGCATGTTATCTCGGATATATTTCACTTTCCCCTCTGATCCGATCTTTGTCGGAACTTTCTTCCGATGGTTGCCCGTCCTTGGTATTATATGTCTCAGTGTCTTCCTAGCCGTCATCTTCGGCATTGTTTTTCCGCCACTGTGCCTGAGTCTCTCGGCTAACTTTACAGGGATTCTGCTCGCCTAGGGGTTCTCTTAGTCGGTGTCATCATCGGTGGGCTATCCTTCACAGTCTTCTCAGCACTTCGCTTCCTTTTCTCTTGTTTCTCCGTAATCTTTAAGGCTTCCGTCCTATCGCTGATCTCCTCGAAGTCGCTGTCGCCCCATCCTCCGGAGGCTCCTGACTCATCATCAAATGCGCTGGTGTGATCCGGTGTCTTCATCTTGGCCTTCCTTTTTCCCACTGTCTCCTTCACCACTTTCTTGACTTTCCTATCTACACGGTCGATACGGCTTTCGATACCTCCCATCCTTATAGATAGCTCCATCGCCATATCCTTGCGCATCAAGGCTCGTTTTTCTTCTTCTTGTCATTGCTTAGCCTCCTTTTTCTTCGCTCGTCTTTCGGCTTTCTCTTTTTCTTCAGCCTCCCGTCTCGCCTCCTCTTCTCTTTCAGACTTCCGTCTTTCCTTCTCCTCTTTTGCTTCCTTTTGCTTGCCGACGAATTCGCGCATCGAGCTCAAAGAGCTTTCGAGATCCTCCAGTTGCTTGCGCAGATCGGGTTCTTCAGAGGTCGTTCGCCTCATATTGCCACGTGTGCTGTGCCCCGGTGATAGCGAGCGGCCCCTTGGTCCCGTGTATGTGTGGGAACCTCCTTCGCCCACCAGCCTTGGGCATTGATTCTTGTAATGCCCTGGTTCATTACAGTTGAAGTAGACAGGAGCATTCCTCCTGGGATAATCCCGTGGAGGATATCCTCGATCATAGTTCCCGCTGCTCGACTCCCGTACCTCCCTCTTGCGTCCTTTCTTCCACCATCTCTTCCGCTCTCTCTGTTGTTGCCTTCCCTTCCAAAATCTCTGCCGCCATTGCGTCCACTCTCACGACCGCTGTTGTAGTAGTGGTCTCGGTCTCGATTCCTCCGTTGTAGTAACGATCCCTATCTCTCTCCCGCCCATAGTCTCTGTAGCCGGACATGGTGTATCTTCAACGCGAAGGCGTTCGTTTTCAAAGTCGCTCCGCCGTGCTGCGCGCTGGAGAGTAGCCTTCACTGCTACTGGTGTTACCTCGTCGTCTCCGTATCCGCTACTTGCAGAAGAACTTCTTCGCTCTCGAACCGCCTTGGATCTTTGCCTCGTCTTGCTTCTTATGAACTTCAGTCTTCAGTCTTGGTCATAGTGCTATACATGTTCACTCACACTCGGCAACCTTCTCCAAGTGGGTTCGCATGCGCCTTAACAGATAGTTATTGATAGGTGAGTAAACATCATCTCATATGCAGAAAATCACCACGAATTTCACTGAAGCAAAACACATGTAAAGTATTTCGCTGAAGCAAATTTGCATAGAAATCCACAAATGACAATGCGTCTCAGTACACAAGGTACTCATGATTGCAATGCGCCGGCGGGTAATGGCTACCCCGCTATTCCACGGGCCGTGGAGCGAGGCGCTAAGGATCTCCTCCTTTTTTTGAACAGGCCCTAAGGATCTGGGAGCTCTCCTTTTTTTAATTCAGAATGATTTTATTGTGGTCATCTTTTTTTTTTTTTTTTTTTACAAAAAAAAAACGGAGCTCTCCTCCACTTGTAGTTGACCGAAAAAGAAAGAAAAAAGAAAGTTAAAGTGCCATTTTTCGATATTAATATAATGCTAAACTTTCCAAAAAAAAAAAAAAAAAAAGTGCCATTTTTTTCTTTCATTTTCACCCTAGCCGAGTCCCTTTTACGCGTATGCCTCTTATCTGACCGTGGATCTCTGTAATCTAAGGTCAGAAATGAAGCATGCGGGTAAGTGGGACTTGGCCCCGGGTGTCGAGGTTTCGTTCTAGTTTTGAGTAGATGTGGCGCGCTACCATCCGATCTGAAAATCTCGCGGCCAAAGTGTGTCCACGTCAAAAAAATACAGCAAACATAAATTAAACCCCTGCTACTTCTCGGCCTTTTGGCTAAGATCAAGTGTAGTATCTGTAATGTTCAGTTTAATATCTAATCCGTGGTCCATCGGCGGACCACACATCAACAAAATGGAAAAAAAAAAAAAAAAAAAAAAAAAAAAAACGCTACTGGGACATGGCACCCTCGGTCATTGGGCCTCCCTCCACTGCTCACGCCATGCACAAAAGACAAAAAATATGGCAATGTATCTTCTCATGTTCTAGCGGAGTATTCAGTCTCGTTCGGCACATTTCGAGAGTAGTGGACCGAGCTTCATTGTCTCCGACGTTGGCTAGGTCCCGCATGCAGGAATTAAGAGAATGCTGACTGTCGATAGCGGAGATCGAACGGCTGACTTCTCTTACTCCATGCAAGTGGGACCTTGCCGCGTGTCAAGTCATCATGATGGCTGTCCTGATACGGTTACAATGACATGGCGTTCTATTCGGGGGAAACAATGTATTGTGCTCCCAGGAACACGACACTGTACATGGGAGTCGGCCTCAGTACGGCGGAGCCTATGGTAGGTTGCCGTGCCTAAGGGCCTCGCCACACTACTCCCGACTTGGGCATTTTCGGGAGTGCAGCATCGCCACACCAGCTCCCGAGTTCAAGCTGTCGGATTGAATTCCAGAGTTGTCAGAATGTGCCTCCCGAGAGCACTCCCGAACTCACTGCCTGCAGAGCTTTTTTTTCGAGAGACCTCCTTCCCTCCTCCGAGTTTCATCCCAGATTCGGGAGCGGAGCCGGAAGGGACAAACGACTTCTGCCAGACTGCTTCACACTGATCCTTTCCACATGTGGCCAATGACATTTTCAGAATTTGAGCGCGGCCGGGTCGAGAGTGTAGTATGGCGAAGGGCACTCCCGAGCGGGTTTTCACTTCCGGGAGCACTCCCGAAAATTTTCCCAAGTCGGGTGTGGTGTGGCGAGGCCCTAACTTCGGCGGCCAACCAACCAACAGAGGCGGTCCCTAAGCCAGGCCCTTGGCTTGGGCACTGGGCCCGTGATGAATTGTTTTTGGAAAATTTTCTAAATGCCCCTGAAAGTTGCCTTTAGTTGCAATCTGCCTCTCTGAGGACTGATGTGCCCTGATTTGCCCCTCTGACAGGGATTGAAGTTTCCGAAAAACCCCTGGCGTCGTTTGGGTATGAGATATGTTCAATTTGCCCCTACCGCTACTGGTGCCAAATTTCCAGTATGCCCCTACCGGATAGCAGCAGAAACATTTTTCATATGCCTGTACAGGTACCTTGCATCTTTTCAGCCGGCCTCTGCACCTACACGCATATATGGCGGCCTCTCTCTCTCTCTCTCTCTCTCTCTCTCTCTCTCTCTCTCTCTCTCTCTCTCTCTCTCTCTCACTCTCGCGCGCGCGAGCGAGTGCCACCCTCTCTCTCTCTGTCTCTGCCACCCGCTCCACCCCGTACTTTCTCTCTCTCTCTCTCGCACACACACACACACACACACACAGGGCTTCATTTTCGCCACAGCGCCACAACAAAGGCGTACTCCAAATATAGACTTCTCGGTGCGAGGGCATAATGGAGAGATGCATGCCCGTCATCAGGGCATATTAGGCAGGGACCGGTGATATGGGACCCGTGGTCCGGTAAGGGCATCCAAAGAAGTTGCACCTCTCACTGGCAGGGGCCAGCAGGAAAGTTCTGAGGCCCCAGGGGCAAATCAGCGTGAGTAGGCCGTCGAAGGGGTATTTCGCAACGAAACGAAATTTCTAGGGGCATTTCAAAACTTGTTCCATTGTTTTTTCTTTTATTTTTTTTGCCGGGGTAAGAAAAACACAAGAGGAAAACATCCGACGGGGAGATCGCAAAGATCGCGGGCGGCTGACTGTCTGTAGAAATCGGGGCCTAGCTACACTGATTCTTCTTCATTTTTCCCCAAAAAAATTAAAAATAAAAAACTTCTTCTTCATTTTTGACCTTCGATCTTTGTAGTCAACGGCCAGAAATTGAGAATGCTTCATTTTTGACTTTTATCTATCTATGTAATCGACGGCGGGGAATTGAGATTGAGAGTCCGGCTAGCTAAGTGGGACCTGGCCCCGGGGGATGATCTCTTGCCGTTGATCTACGGAATCTAACGGCAGTCAGACTGGAGGACTATGAGTGAGGGCCTCGTTCGGTGCTGCTTCCGAATGAGCGCCAGACAGAAATGGGGTGGGTATATTGCCGCCTTTTTCGGCACTATACATTCACTGGCGTTCACATTTCGCCGCCGGTGAATGGAACGGCTCGGTCCTCCGCCGGTCCTCCGCCGGTGCTTCCCCCGGTCCTTCCCCCGCTGAGTAATCCCGGCAGGAGGGAAGCCGCCACTGCCGGCAAAGGTACGGACGTAGGGGGAAGGAGCGGGGGATGGGGCGCACAGAAAAAAACAATGCGCAAATAGGGGCCCTCTTCATACCAAATCTCTGTGCTCCCTCTGGCCACACGCTCAGATCTGCAGGCGATGGTGGCCGCGATGCGTGTCGGCTATGGTGGGCACTGGTCTACACGTCTCTCTCCCTCTCTGTGTCTGATCGTATCTCTCTCTGTGTCTGATCGTGGCAATCATTTGAATTACGACGGTTGTCATCATCTGACTGATGGGTCAAAGTTAATATAGTGAGGAATTCTCTCTCTCTCTCTCTCTCTCTGTCTGTGTGTCGGGGTGTTTGTTGCTCCTTCTGGAAGCTTCTGATCCGTGATTACTTGTGGTTTAACGTAGAAAGCAGTGGCTGAGATCTCGTCGGAATGAGGGGAGAATCGGGGGCTAGTATTGTCCCGCGAATAGAACGCATGCGTGTTATTGGGGCCACGTTGCAGTAGTAATCTACTAATCTGTAGGAATTGCTGGTCTGATCGTCGTGAACGTGGAGAAATTCGGCGGCTCCTATCTTCTCTCGAATACAACGCATGTGTATAATTCGGGGCACGCTGCAGTGGTAGGACCAGTCTGCAGCGAAAGCGCTGGTATCTCGTCGGGACGAGTCGGGACGTGGGGAGAATGAACGGCTAGTAATCTCTCGCCCGAATACAACACGTCCCTTTTGGCCCCGCGTCTCAGCAGCAGTCTACTGTCTATCTAAAGTGATTATGATGGTTATGATTATGGTTATGATGACGATTATGATGATGATTACAAGAGTGTCGTAAACATTTTAGTTGTCGTCTCCTGTTGAGTGAGTATGGTGCTTCTTCAGTGAAGCTTCCTTGCATTTCGGTTCGATCTGGTGAATCTTCCTCGATTGTTCGATGAATTGCCGCAAGGATGGTTGAGCTCGCGCGTGGATCTTGCGATTGTTAATTAATCATTCAATAATTAATTAATCATGGCACGAAGTTCAGGGATGGTTTTGCTGCCGTCAACAAAAATATGACCACGAATGGTGGAGGTGCTGACGTACGTGGTGGATTGCGGCGCGCTTTTCTGCAGTTGATGACGTGGAGGCTTCTCAGCCAGCAGTCTGGCTGGTGTTGAATTCTCTTTATGGGGTAGGTCGGCGCCTCCCGGCTTTTTTAAGTCTCTTTTTAATTTTTTATTATTGTTATTATTATTTTTAAGGTTGGTTTCGATTCTAATTTTCGCAAAAAAAAAAAAAAAAGGCGTGCTGTGAGGCTTCTCAGCCAGCAGTCTGGCTGGTGTTGAATTCTCTTTATGGGGTAGGTCGGCGCCTCCCGGCTCTATTAAGTCTCTTTCTTTCCATTTTCGCAAAAAAAAAAAAAAAAAAAAAAGCGTGCTGTAGTTAAAACGATGAGTAGCAGTTAAACAAATTCGTCTCTTCCGTGTGATTTGAGTGCAGTCGCTGTCGTTGCCGACAACAAAAATTTTGACGTGCTTATCGTCGATGGATTGATTTATTGATTGCTGACGTGGACATTACTTAGCCGCCTATGGCAAGGATTCACTTCTTCGTCCCCCCCTCCATCTCCGCCTCGTCCCTCTCCTCCCTCTCCTCCCTCTCCTCCCTCTCCTCCCTGTTTCCTAAGACATAAAGACATGGAGATTGGGAAGGGAAAAGAACCTGATGGGAGAGGAGAGAAGGAGGTGATCTCCTGTACTCGGCGGCCCATCGGAAAGAGCGAAAAGGCGATGTGGCTGAAGACGACGCTATGTTATAAGTGATCTATCTATCTATCTATAGCGGTTTCAGTTCGAAAATGCGTTTTAGTCACGATTCCACGAATGTATTGTGTCAAACTGAGGAAAATCGTGAATGTATACAACCGAGGTTTAGGCTCGGGTGGGGATGTGTTGTACTCGAGGTATGCCAGAACCCGATTAAAAACTTAAATCGTGATTGCGCCCTACAGTCTTCCCTCGAATACAACGTACGGTCATTATAGCTGAACTTGGTGTATATTTCAGTCTAAATTCAGCTATAATGACCGTACGTTGTATTCGGGGGAAGACTGTAGCCCTAGTTACCCCATTCTATTTTTTATTTATATCCTATTGAGTCGGTGCGGTGAAATTCCGACGAAACAAAACAAAAAAGAAAATAATAATAATAAGAAATCCGACGAAACAATTTGTCACAGCCCCTCCCTCGTTTGTTGTCCTCGTCTCTCTCTCTGCCTACCGTTTACCGCGCAGCTCTTTTTGACGCCAGGTAAACCGTAGGGAGCAAAGAGGGAGGGAGGGAGAAGAGGACAACAAACGAGGGAGGGGGTGTGACAAACTGTTTCGTCTTAGTTTCACCGACTCAATACGATACGATATATATATATCGTCACAAACAGAACTGCCCGGTAAACCGTAGGCAGAGAGAGAGAAGAGGACAACAAACGAGGGAGGGGGTGTGACAAACTGTTTCGTCTTAGTTTCACCGACTCAATACGATACGATATATATATATCGTCACAAACAGAACTGCCCGGTAAACCGTAGGCAGAGAGAGAGAAGAGGACAACAAACGAGGGGCTGTGAAAAACTGTTTCGTCGGAGTTTCACATATATGTGTGTGACGACATATATATATATATACATGTATATGTGTATGTATATGTGTATATCTATGTGTATATCTGTGTTTATATATATGCATATATATGACACACGGGGGTGGGGGCAGCCAGCGCTCAACCTGTCATCCACGTGGCTGGCCTTGTACGTAAGAGGTTATGAACGGGTGGAGCTTTCCTTACCTCTTCCCCCTCCCCCTTTTTTCCTTTTCCTTTTTCTTTCCCCTTTTTTGCGCTCTGATTCACAATGTGACAATATATATATATTTTTCTAGTTGAAAAACATGTATATATATATATTTACAGTGTACATAGGAGTGCAGCTTGAAACTACTAGGTAAAATCGGGGGAACCAAATAATCTTATCCAATCCGACGTGTAGGACTTGCTACTTATTTGGTTCTGTGAATGTCAGCTACCTAATCTTTGTTTGTTATTTTTTGTTTAATTCCCTCCCCCCCCCCCCTCCTCGTCCCCCCCGTTACATGAGACTTAAGGGGAGACGAAGCAACATAATTATTCGAGGTACATATAGAATTTAGGGTAGCAATGTACCTTCACGTTCTCTGGCAATTGTATAATTAGTGGCTGTTACTCTCCACCCCCCCGTTCTTTAATTTAGTTTCGCCGTCGGCGGCGTCATAAACGAGACAGACCGTGACTGGGAATTGAGCTTTTTTTTTTTTGTTTTTTGTTTTTGTTCCCTCTCAGAGGATAATATTTGGAATTGGAATTATTATTATCCGGTATTTAATTTCAATTTTTTTTTTTAATTGTATTAATGAGATTTGCTACAGTGAGTAATGCTGGCAGTAGTCGGAAAAAAATCGTAACTGCCGAAAAAAAAAAAAAAAAAAACTGATCAACACGCAGCTCACGAGGTTAAAAAAAAAGAAAAAAAGAAAAGGGGTAATTTAAAAAAAGAAAAAAAAAAGAAAGGGTAACCCACGTCGCTGAATGGTACAGTTGATGAGCTCTCGCATCCTGATGAAAGCAAATCGATTGGATACGGTGAGGGGCTGCCGCTTTTTTTTTTT